TTTGTGAAGCAAATTCAATCAAGTATGTCATCTAATCCTCTTGTTCATGATATCAAGAATACTTCCTCTAACTCCTATGATACTTCAAATTTTGAGTTCAAAAATAACCTACTATATTTCAATGATTGCCTATATATTCCAAAAGGCATGGCACAATTACGTGTCCTTCAAGCTTGTCATGATTTTCTAATAATTAGATATTTTGGATACAACAAGACTTTTAAGTTAATATTAAGAGATTTTTGATAACCTCAAATGTGGAAGGTAGTCGAAGACTTTGTACAATCATGCAATACTTATTCAAGATCTAAAACTCCTCATCATCAACCTTATAGACTTCTTCAGTTGTTACCTATTCCAAAACAACTATAGTCTTTTTTTTCTATGGAATTTATCACAAATATTTTAGTCTTAGATTCATATGATTTCATATTCCTAACCATAGATCGCTTCATCAAAATAGTACATTTTATACTATGTATAAAATCTATTTTAAGTAAAAAAATAGCTAAAGTTTTTATCAACAATATCTATCGCTATTATGCATTGCCAAAGGATATTATATCAAATAGGAAGATTCAATATGTATCAAGATTTTGGAGAATCTAATTCAAGATTTCAAAGATAGATATAAAGCTTTTTTTGGCTTTTTATCCTCAAAATGATAGGCAAAGAAAATGGGTGAATCAAATTTTGGAATAATATTTGAGGTGTACCATCAACTATCATCAAGATGATTGAACAACTCTTTTGCCATTGGCAAAGTTTGCATACAATAATTTAATACATTCTTCTACTCAAAAAATACCTTTTTTTACTAATTATGGTTATCATCCATGATTTGATACTTTTAACTTTTTAAAAGTTAATAATCCTTCGGCAAAAGATTTAGCAAATCATTTGTCAAAGCTACATGTAATAATAAAGATACAATTAAAAGAAGCTCAAAGATGACAAAAGACTAATATGGATGCCTATCACAAGGAACAACTACAATTCAACATAGTTGACAAGGTATGATTACTTCATCACAATATCAAGATTACTTATCATTGTAATAAGTTGGACTATTGTAGGTTGGGACTTTTTTCTATTTGTGAATAATTCAATCATGTTGCTTATCGATTACATCTTCCAAGGTCTATGAAGATCCACCCTATATTTCACATGTCCCTTCTTGAGCCATATAAGACAATGAATATTTTGAGAAGAAGACAAATGCCACCTCCTCATATAGAAGTAAATAATAATCAAGAATTCGAGGTAAAATAAGTCTTAGACTCAAGACAGCACCAAAATAGGTTGAAATATCTTGTTTATTCATGCGGATATGATATTAGTGAATGCACATGGGAGCCATGAAAGAATCTTATAAATGCAACAAAGAAAGTTGAAGCTTTTCATCAACGAAATCCATCAAAACCAAGATAAAGAATAGAAAATCTTCGCTATAAAAGAAACAAGATCAAAAGAAGATAACATTCTACTTTCTATCTTTTTTCGTAGTTGATGTATATTTGTGACCCTAAAGAGATGGAGAACCAACGACCAACAAATTCAACTCAAGAGCTTTCATTTTCAAACTTACCTAATGAGACATTGCAATTGTCACAACCTTCAAGATGATGAAATTGAGATGAAGATCCTCAAGAATGACATGTCTTTCCTTGAATAGATGGCGAGATACAACATATTTGGTATCATGACCTTGGAAGAGACTCCCACTATTTGTTGATTTTATTTGAGGTAGGAAGAACTCCTAATGGTGTTTCCAATTTTTTATTTGAAGGAAGTTATGAAGGCCTCAACAACGACAAAATAACAGGGTGGTCTTCTCGTCCTAGTATAGAACACTATCAATGATTGAGAGGGCCTATCAACTATCTTCAAAGAGAACAAAGATCAGAGTATGTGGCAAATATAATTTGTCGCATCATGGACTTTCTCAACATATGAAGATTGTTCTTCATACAACTCATCCCTAGAAAGAGAGATAATGTCATGGACATATATATTTACCTCAATAAATATCTACATGATTAGATAGAAGTAGATAAATATAGATTAATTTCATAAAGACTTTTAGTGAAGCTTCCTAGAAGCTTTATAGATGCGGTTTTGACTTTAGATGTGTTTGTAGGTTGAAAACTTGACCAATAAGTTAACTATGTGTTGGTAGCTTGAAGAACAAGTTAACTCCATACAATATTGAAATAGTAGTCTTAAAATAGATATAGCAATAGGTTTAGAATGTCAAACTCTTTTTGTTCATACTTGGATGATTTTGTTAGGTCATTAATCAATTACTATGAATGAAACTTGGATGAAAGGCTATAAAGGATGTAAAGGATAATTTCAATAAATAATTAAATTAATAGATAAAATTTTAGATAGATATAATACTTAGATAAAGTTATCAATTTAAATGTGATATATTTTATAGATGAAAAATTGATTAAAAAAAAAAAAAAAAAAAAAAAAATCTATTACATAAATTGGATGAATATAGGTTGGATAAATTTTGATTAGATGGATGGATGAAGTTTAATTAATTAACAAATTTATAATTTAAATCAGACTATAATATATAATATTTAATTTATATTAATTAATTAATATTAATTTATATGTAAAAATTTTACGATATCTAATTAATTACACTAAATTATTTTTAAGTCTTAATAAGTGAATATTTGATGTATTGACAAAGCTTGGAATGGCCTCATAATGAAAAATTGACAACATGGTATATGCAAAGAAGATGCACAATAAGTATGGTAAGTAGAAATTGTAGAAGGAATATTGTAGAAGCATTACAAGTAATTTGATCCATACATAACGTCGATTGATTTCCAAACATGAGCTCAAGTTCTTAAGATTAGCATTTTCTAGGCCAAGTATTAGAACTTGTGCATAATTTTGTAAATTAACAAAATATTTGTTTTATAATTTAATTAAATTTTTTATAAAAATTAAAATAAAAAATACTAAGTAATCATGCATTCATATAAAGATTTTTATTCATATCACTCAACCAAAATTAAAGTCTAGTAAAGTGTTGAATTGTCTTAAGACTATCAATTAAACTTCCATGAATGAAATTTCCAATATTATGTCCTAAAATTTTTAAAGTGTCTTCTAGAGAAGACTCTTGTACACAAAAAAATAGTAGTTTATAAATAGCAAGGTCATGATTAGTGTTATTGGAAGATATTTTTTTGCAATATTAAAAACAAATATAAATATTATTTTTTTAAAACAAAATATAAGAAAAATTAGAGGTTTTCAAATATATATAGAAGTAATGTTTAATATAGTAATACAAGATATTAAAAAGGATGTTAACTATAAATTAAACATAAGTGGAAGTATATAATGTAAAAAGAATTTATTTTTAAAAAAACAACATTATCTGTATTAGAACCTAATTTATATATATATATATATATATAATTGTAATAATTTTTATAGAATATCTATTATAGTCTAAAACTAGTTGGAATTAGTGTTAGTGATAGTAGTAAAGAAGAGAAATTATAAAGCTATTTATTGATAGTTTATGTAGTTATTAGAATAGGCACATTGAAATAGAAGATCTTGGTAAGGTTATGCAATCTTTTAGAAGATGAAAGGGGTCATTTTTTTCACACATGTGTATAAAAGTATGATTAGTAGAAGAAATTCTATAAATATATATATATATATATATATAAATATATATATATATATATATATATATATTAAGAAAAATAAAAATATATAAAAATTAAAAAAATAACTGAGATAAAATTAATAAATTGCTAAAGAATTTAAGTGACAAGATTAGTATAAGAAGATTTAGACTTTATTATAAAAAATAAAAATAAAAAAATAAAAAAATAAAAAATATTTTATTATAAAAAATTTTAAATTCTAAGAGTTTTATTTGTATTCTTTTTTGGGAAAATAAAATTTTTGCTATTTTCTTGATAATATTTCAAAATATTTTCTTTACAATATTAAGCACACCTTTCTAATTCTAAATTCTTAAATTTCAAATTCTTAAATCCTAGATTTTAAATCCTAAAAATCTTCAACTTTAAATTACAAATCTTAAATCTTAAATTTTAAAAATTATACATAATTTCTTCATTCTACTTTCTTACATGTTGAAAAAATGATTTCCAATCAATATAAATTTTATATATATATATTATTTGAATATCAAATTTAAAGTTATTACAAAGAGAATTCTAAATCCAAAGTCAATAAAAGCCTAAAGACAATCTGGTTGTTATATTCTAAATATGGTTGATCTTGCAAGTATTAACTAATATCTAAGATATAGATAGATATTTACCTTACGAAGTTTAAAGGTGCCTACAACCTATTTAGCAAGTAATGATTTGGTGGCCACTTTTACTTCAATAGTTCTAATACTAGTTTTTTTTAAGGTAGACAATAAATATTTTTAAAAAATTGGATTTAGTTTAGAAGATAATATTGTTCCATGAAAAATTTCTCACCATAGATTCAATTCTACAAATTTTCTTCAAATACTTTGTGTATAGATTAAGAAAGAAATATGATAAGATGCAAAGCAAATTGATAGGTTAAATAGATATTTATACATTTCAAAATCAATAGGTGAAATGACCATTGTGAAGAAATGATACTTGCATCACTTCATTATATAACAATGTAATATTCTCAAAACCAATTTTTAATATTTTAACAATACTTGTAATAAATAAATAAATATTTTCAGAAAATCTAGTAGCAACCTAATAATATGGTATTTAGACAAGATCCTTAGACAGACATCTAAATAAATAAAAAATAAAAAAGACAAACTATATGGAGACAAGAGATAAAATATAGAAAATCATGTTAACATTCTAAAAATAAAAAAATCTAAAAACAAATTAACAAATACTTAAAATATATATATATATATATATATATATATATATCTCAATTTTGGATTAAATTAGTAGACACATTCGATGAAGGAGAACCCATTAAATAAAATTATAACATCCCAAAATTTGTATTTCTTACCTTAATCCAAAGCCTTTTGAAGTATAGGAATAGTCTCAAAGTAAGGAAACAGATTTTCTATTAATTTTAGCAAAGAATTCTAACCTGTCTACAGAAAGCATTTCAACAAGTAAAAAGAATTTGGTTGGTCAATGTTTTTTCTGGATTCAAATTACTAATTTTTATCTTGAACATACTGGCAAAGACTGTCAAGCATGATCTTGTGTTCTGCCGAATGATCAGTCACAACTGACAACTATGGGTGTATGTTCCATAAACGCTTGAAATGATCTGCCGCCAATTTGAAAGGCTACGATCAAATACCAGTTCTTGACGCAGGGATTTCATTCAATGTGGCGAATTCGAAATTAAACCAGCTTGCAACGCACTCTCCTTTGAGCTGTAAACAGAATGATTGCTGTCAGGTAATTTAAATTCTGAAGCCCACATGAATTCTGTGAAGTCGGAATGTATAATTGTGGACGCGCACTGGGCACATTCAACCATAGATGCACTGGAAGAAAATTTTAATTCACTTTCAGATTGTCATGGTATCTGGAGTCGATATCCAAGGGAAGATAATGACTGCTGGACTGATGAGCTCCATACCTCGAATCATCTTCCTCCGAACCGATTTGCGGATGTCATCGTCCGAGCTGTTACGATAGTTAGTGAGTCGATTGATCTTTGTTTCGGCAGTTGAACTAATGCGGCAAAAATTATCACCTGCGGACATCACAATCCAATTCAGTAACATTACGGAGTCAGCTCAAAAAGGGGATCGGCTGAACAGGAAATGTTATCTTGCTTACCTCCTGCCAAGAAACCGAGACCGATGTCGAGGTCAGAGTCGGGAAGCTCATCCAGATCCACTATTTCTGGAGGATTATACCGACCCTAGCGACGGACGAGCGATATGTTATATACGTGCACTGCCGTCTAGAATTCTCTCAATCAATTACATCAACCCAATGAGATCTATTGTACCAAGGATCAGAGTTGAATGGTTCGAACAATTTTATCAATGACCTTACCAGAGAATAGTATGGATTATGTTTCGGAAATTCTGTATAATGTGATGGTTGATTGGCTACCTGGTGGCGCATGTCGCTATTTTGTACTGGATGGGGAATCTCAGCTTTTAAATCTCTTTTGAAGCTGACAAATTCATCCCGCAAAGACTGAATCATGAGCTTCAAAGCGGTCTTATTTTTCTCTTCCGCCACTTCGTTGACCGCTTGCTGAAATTATCATAAGATTTCAGATGATAACATAGTTTTTTTATTCATATGTTTTCCGAATTCTCTTTCTCAAAACTACTCAAGATTGATCGGAACTTGTAGTTGAAAATACTTAGGTTACCTTCAGAGTTTTGATATCTTGGAGAATGGCATCCTCTGAGGCTTTGACGGCAGTATATATCCCGCTGTTCGCAGCTTCTTCTTCTTTGACCTTGCAGAAGCATTAAAATATCTTAGTGATTTCAAATTAGACATCTCCTATGACAAACAAAGAGTGGAAGTATAATCCCTCTCATTGTGAATCCTAGCAATTCATGATTATCAAGACTTGACACAAATCGTGTCTTGACGCGTAAATTCATTGTGAGGCCCTAATGTTCTGCGAAAAATGCATCTAACCAGCTTCTGAAGTGCGTCTTGTTGAATCGACAATTTAGATCTGTTGTCTTTGCCTGCAAAAGAAAACGGCGCGTCAGACATTTTTAACACTAATTAACAGTTCAGGAATATTCTGAGCGTTGATAGACAAGTATTTCATTATGAAGTCAACTGCAAAGTTCACTCGCATCTACTGTTCTTTGATGCTATTGGTAAAAAGTCAATAGTACGTTAAATTTCTTACTCTCAAAGCATGCTTCTTCAATTAATGTCTTGAACTGCTGATAATCATCACAAATTTTTTGAAGAACCGCTGTTTCTGCTTCCCACAATTTCTCCAAGTTACCTAATCTTCTCTCCAGCTCATCAGAGACGTTGCCTGATGCGAATAATTTCAATACGGAATGCAAGAATCACCACAACACATGAGGGGAGATGTCATGTGCACGAATAAACAGTGAGAAGGGGAAATGATAAACTTTGTTAAGCACGTAATTGAAATTTGACTGTACAGAACATACATTGTGGCCACGGACGAGGTGTGTTGTTTTGAGGTCCAACTACGCATAATGCAGCACTGGTGGAAGTCGAACTTGCAGGCGCACTTTGACTTCCTCCAACATTCCCCGGTGAGTTGCGGCGATTGAGACTCGTCGTCAATCCAGAAAAATAAGGAGGAGGCTTTTGCGACTGACCGAGCGCTATCTCTTTGCCAGTTTTCCACTACGTTAACGACAATGACATAGTTGAACTAAAATTAGGTAAGTGCTCTGGAACTTTTAATGAATGCACTGTAAATCACTAATTTAGAAGGAGCTTCAGACTTAAATGTTTCACAAAACTCAGTAAATGAACGCTTAAAATCCAGGAAAGCGCAACACAAATATTGCTGCAGTTATGCGTGACTCACTTGATCGCAACCGTAGTCCTCAGGTTGCGAATTCTGAGATAGCCGTAGTGTATTTTGAGATTGCGTAAGACATCCTTGCGAAAGGGATCGCTGACTCTGCGAAGAGTATGGATTGCACGATCGCGAAAGAAAAGGATGTTTAGACTGTGACTCTTGCTGTAAGCCACAATCGGCGTAATGTGGATTGGCAGGTCTTTCGACCGGCTTCGGCGCAGTATCATATCTTTACAAAACAAGAAAGACAGAAGATCGTCAAAATCTGGTCAACACAATGATGTTACGAGCAAACGATGGCATACAGTGAACTGCGTCCGAACAGTCGTTTGAAAAGAAAAAAATCAATGGGACTCTGCTACATCTTATTTTAATTTGTAAAGTGGCATGCAGATGTAGCGCTAAAATCAAGCAGACTCGGAGAGCTCGTTCATTAACAGTCACCGTAACCTTGAGCAAGTAGTGAGTGGGAGGGGTCACCAACCCTGGAAAACCGTGGAGAGGAAATGGTGAGGGAGCTGTGTGGCTGAGCAGACTTGATCCACCACCCAAGCTCAGGTTCCGCTTCGTCATTTTCTAGTTCAAGCTACTGTGCAGGTTGATCGGCTTTATTGAGCTTTACTTAGTCTGTTTACAACGGAGAAGATCAACACTGAACTAAGACGACTACGCTACCATCACAAGCTCGCTAGTTCTCAGACTAGAGTTCCCCGTTCCATAAGGTTCGAGAACTCTCGAAGTGCGATCCAGGCAGGTTGACTACGTGTCCTCAGACGACAGCACGACCCAGTATTCTAAGAGATTGATTCTAGCAAGCAGTGGTGTGCATCGTATTTACTGCGACTTTTGCGTGTTTCTCCAGGTGCCATGCTACATTTCATACAACGAACACATATTTTCGAGAATTTGAAAGAATTGATCAAATTAGATATTTCTCCTCATCCAACCAGGTTGCTGATGTTTCACATGTAGGCAACATTTTAATATTAAGATATCTATATGCTCATTCGCAGTATGCCGCTAGTCTACAAGGAGGCAGGTTGCCTCATGGTCTAAGATTGGGGCTGTCTACAAAATTCAGAGGTGAAATGAATTGTCCTACCCTTTAGTGTTACATATGTTTGTACGTGCCCAGCAGGGCATTGGACTTCTACCGACAAACTCTGTAAGGTTAAAAAAAAGAGCTTAAGACGCCGATGTAGAGATTATATGGGAAGTCTCAATTTTCTCAAAACATAACTTCGCCTGTCGAGTTGGTTTTTTCGCAGCATCTACACACATGACAAGCGGGTTCATTACCATTGCAGAAGTAACACTACACACTTCGCATTAAGATAGAATACGTGGACAAGAACGTGGATGACTAAACAGTTGAGAGAAAATCGTTTCGAAAAGTGACTTAACAAACGGACAGAGGAAGAGACATGTTACACACCTGCAGCAGAATTCTTGAGCGCTTCCCTGGCAGCAGAAATGGAAGCCTTCCACTCTTGATATGCTTTACTATTGATGGCTTTCCTAGACCTCTTGGCAGCAGGAATTACTAAGTCGTCTTCATTGTCTATGGACTCAGCATCACTTTCCGACGCCTCATCAGTATCACGAGACCTTTTGCCGGAGACGTTTACAGTAAGTAAATCTGCAAGGTGCAGTCATACGTTAGACATCCAATTGCAGTGAAAAACATGTAATCAACGCTCAGATTTACAATACAGGGGAAAGAATTGAAGCTACAAGCCCAAGAGATCCCCTGTGTATGTCGTACCTTCATTACTTTTGATGGTTTTGGGATCCCGTTTCTCTTTTTCCATACCGACCAAGTCAAAACAGAGGTCATTCATTGATGCAATAATCTGTGAAAACATCGAATATTGAGTGTCAGATATATACCTAATTCAATATATGTTTTATTTTCCACTTTAAACAATAACCAGACGCAAAGTAGATCACAGAGCTTGAATTTAATGGTACCACCAGCTGGACTGCCATGAAAAGGATATTAACACTTACATTTGAAAACTCAGGATCCGAAGCACCACAGATTTCCATGAGGCGTATCTTGTCTACCTTCAACTGAAAACAAGCACAAGTAGGGATTTGAGATTCTAAAGCCTGTGATGATGTTCGAGTATGCTGCTGACTGCAGCAACAGAATTACGAGAAATTTTTGCAAAAAGCTAATTTGAAGGGATCAACAGCTAACCTTGTTTTTCCTGGAACATAGAAAGAAAGCAGCGGCAGTAAATGCAGGTCGGCTAAAGTCGGCGCTAGTTCTCCTTGATTCTGGCAGGGCAGCCACGAATCTTTGCTTGTAACTGAAAATTTCAGGCTCGATATTAAGTATGGTGTATTCGTGAGAACATTAATCCCGTGAAGTGGTCGAGAATTCAAATTCACGCAGATCTATTGTAAGAAGAAAAATAGCATATAGTTTACCAGAAAGAGGAAAAGGTTTGTGAAACTTACAGGGATAGAACCCGTTGGACAGCGCCAATGAGTCTTATACATCCAAATTGAATTGCAAGCTCCCTTACATCAACCTTCGGCCTGCACAAATTTACGGAGCGCATCTATTAAGGTCTGACACAGTGTTCAACAAACAACATGAATTCCTACAACCATGTTTTTCAGAAAGGGTAGGAAGTTATCTTCCGAAAATAGAACAATCGCCATACTCAATTTATAAACACTGAGGTTACTTCCAAAATATGCTTGATGTAGAACTAAGACCAGTGATCGTTCTTAAGCCTATATCTCGGTGATAAAGTCAAATAGAGCGGATAGAAGGCTTCTGCGAGAGATATACATTCGATGTAAGTGAAATTAGGGATTGGACACAGGAAAAAAACTCACCTCAGCCCCAGGGCATTCTGCAAGGCGGTTAGAGACCTAACATAGGCCTTCTCCGACATGCCGCTGACACGAACAGCTTTCTGCCTATCGAGAGAGAGTTGCAACCTGGAACAATGAGGGTTTAGATTAGATTCACGATTCCGTTGAGGGCAGTGCAAAGTATTTTGGGTAGTACAAGATTCTGTTCATGCCAGGATGATAAGCATTGATGCACACTCCCCAGTGAATCACTTCACTATGTTCAAGTCCTTTCTGAAGATGCAGCACTCCGTGTTATGAAAAGAAAATTACTGATGTGAGAGGAGAAGGTGCTCACTCTCCGCAGGCAAGCTCGAAGCAAATAACAGATTTACAAATCTCACCCTGCAAGTAAGGATTCAACACACATGTGAGAAGATGCGGAAGGAATCCATTTCGACACCAGACTTGCAGCTTGACAAACGCATGTGTAAACGATTGGACAAAACGGGGAACAAACAACAGATCGTGTTGACATGAGCTCAGCAGCCGCTGTCCCAACTCAGAGACACCAATATTTATAGCCTAAAGTTCAGTCGCCCGAGGATGGTGCGAGCTACGGGACTAAGATAAGCACGGTCGAACGGATTGACAAAACATCAGGACGACAGAAGGAGGAGTAGGATCGAAAGAGACACACCACACCCATAGATGACGAATTGAAGTGCAATCTGCATAGTCGGAGAAGCTCCTGGGCCTTCCTCACCACTTTGGGCTGGTCAATCAACCCCAATTTCAATTGAAGCGATTTCATATCCATTACTACTAAGAAGAAGGAAAGAAACAAAGAACTCCTACCCCGAACCCTGAAACGACTTCAGATCCCCTGTGCAGCGACTGCCGCAGTAGCAAGACACTCCCCAGAGATGCAGAGCTACGATATTCGATAACAGCACAAAAATTCGCAATGAGAAATGCGACGTTTAAAAGCAAAGTCGAGAAATGGAGGGTGTTGAGCAAGAGAGCCGATGAGCTCGGCAGAGAAGATGAGCAACTAATGGTTGCGAGCGGGAAGGGGAATGGCGGGAGAAGGAAGTCATTCAACGATTCAACGACGACAGGTGAATGAGAGTAGCGCGGAACAAGAAGGAAGTGGCCGGGACTGTGATGAATGAGACGGGCAGCGCGGGAGAGCAAGGCTGGCGGGCTAATTTTCAAATTCTCACCTGCCACGCCGGTAGCGACTCCCGCGCAAACCTAGTCGTCTTTAAATTAGGTTTATAGGGCGAGACGTTGGGAGATCGAGTATTTTCTTTGCATCCGATGAGGCTATCACCGGCCCTACAACGGTTTCCCCTCTGTGACATCGTCACGTGAAAATACTCTCAGCAACGCAATTTCAGGTTTGGCATTTATGCCAAACCTATGTTTTCCTACAAAAATGTGTATATACATACATACATACATGATTAATATGAGAGAAAAAAATTTAATGCAATAATTGAAACCACTAGAATTGGTTGAATTGGGAATTATTATTTTATAGTTTACAAGAATACATATCATGCACAAGAGATTATTTTTAAATTAATATAAAATGGTTCATAAAATTTATAATGTAATGGTAATTATGCATGTGAGAATATTAAAACAAGTAAATTTCATATGATGCATCTTAAAATTTTAAAAAATAGTATTATGTATTTATTCACTATATATATATATATATATATATATATATATATGATAAGGCGATCCAAATAAAGTGACCCACTCTTATAGCAATCATCCACACCCTCTTTGTTCTCAACCTTGCTCTTTTTATTCTTAACTCTCATTCCAACCTTGTTATCTTTGATCTCAACCTCCACCTTGATCCCCTTATTCTTTGTTATCTTCGACAGCAAATGACAATCCATAATTGGTATAAGTTATTCTTTTGGCAAAAAAAAAAAAAAAAAAAAAAAAAAATTCTAAAGAAGGCATGTTGTCTACAAGCTTATCCAAATTTGTAGTATTATATAATATTCTTGTCTTCTTATGGAAATTAGTGATTCCTACAAGATGTATGCCAATAGAACTATTAGCTTCTACCATCTTTAATTGTAAGTACCTTTGTATAAAAGGTGATTCTTTGATCACTAAAAAAATAGAAGCACTATATATTCTTTAGTAGTAATTGACATAGGTAATTGTAGACTTGACAAAATTTGGGGCATAATTATTTAGTGGTATTCTCTTACATTTATAAGTTTGGAGAATAATCCTTCATCAGTTGTCACCTATTATTTGTATGATTATTAAAAATAAGACCATCTAAAACTAAATGATGCTTTAAAATTCCTATTAAGGATATTAATCTTCAAAAAAGAAATCCTTAATACACTCTCGTGTCACTTAAAGAACTAGAAAGTCACTCAAAGATGATATGATATTAAACTAGAATGTCTATTGTCAAAGCCAAGAAGACTAGAAAGTCTTGAAACAAGAATGAAGATTAGAAAGATAGTATAAGAGTGAAGAAGCCTTCATTCTTGCTTCCATACATACTCTTAACTAAGAACTATGTGGTGATGTCGTATAGGACCTCCAAAATGTGTTGAAATTGTACGACACATATCTTAACTTCCAAGGCAAGTTTTCTATATGTATGCCACATAATTAGCTTGTTTTGCAAGCTACGAATATGTGATTAACTTATTGACTAAGTTTCTAACCTATTAATCAATTACAAATACATGTAAAGTCAAAACAACATCTATGAAGATTCTAAAAATTTTTTCTAAAAAATATTATGAAATAAATTTATTTTTACCTACTTCTATTTAATCATATAGATAAATATTAGAATAAATATATATATCCATGACAGTTCTACAAGAAATTTAAGAAGAAATGAAAAATTTGTGGCATTCCAAAAAACAAGTATGAAGAACATTACAATGGCTCAAATATATATATATATATATATATATTCTTACTTGCAATAGATAGAAGAAAAAAAACTATATTTTTATGGAAATTTACACACAACAGTTAGAAGCTATATTATTGCACAAGCAATATGAAATCTTATTCCAAAAAGAAATATCACCTCAAATCCAAAGTTATGTCATGCCAATGACATGTCTTAGACCAAGCAATTCAAAGCCATATGTAAGACAAGCTACATTATAATTTCTCAATGCTTAATTATTGTATAATCAAACCTTAAAACTATACACGAACACTATTAATAAATTTATTAATATAAATCTTGTCTTTTATATATTTTTCCACCCACTCATTTGAGTACTATATTGGTATACAAAATTCATTTCTCTAAGCACCATACTTCAATTAACAAAGATTTTGAATGCCCTATATTCAAAAGGATTGCAAGAACTCTAATTTTTATTAATTCAGCTCTAATGATAGTCATAGTATATTGTATACAATTGCATGTTAAAACACCACATCCAAATCCATCTCAAAAAGTGAATAACACTCCAGAAGATGAAATGCATGTTATTTTGGTGAATTTACAATATTAGTCATAACTTTAGTAAAATATTCTTAAAAGACACTTCAATATTAAAAATACAATTCACTATACTATCTTTTGTATCATTACCAATACTTCATCTGGAGTCCCAAACTTTACCTTTTTATTCTTCTTTTGCCAAAAAAATGACTCACATTGACTGTGGATTGTCATCTGCTGTTGGAGGCAATAAAGAATAAAAGAGTTAGAATAGAAGTGAAGAACAAAGGAAGTCGAGTTAGGAATAAGCGAGGTTGAAATAAAAGCTATAAATAAAGAGAGAAAGGCTAAAAATAATAAAAGTATAGATGATTACAATGATAGTTATTATAAAGGTACATTGCTTTATTTAAAAATTGGGTTGCTTTATCATTTCCATATATATAATGACATACATATTAAACATAAAGAAAATAATTTCATTGTTATTAAGACATATGAGTAATATATATGAACTCAATTGAATTTAATTGAAGTTAAGAATTATAATAATAATAATAATAAATATTTAAAAAAAACAAAAAATAATAAATTAAAAAATACAATGTCAATTCAGGTTTATAAAAAAGTAAAAAACAATTTGTGATGAGTTTTAAATTATTTAACCAAGTTGAATTCTTTGTCAAATGTATTAGTTAAATAATATAATTTTAGCATACATCATTTATATATATGCATTTATATATATATATATATATATATATATATAAATATTTATCTTTTTCAAATACCTTATGTAGGCACATCTTTTAATTATCATTTTTTAATTTAATAAAAAAATATTCATAAAAATATAATAATTATTTAAAACTAAAATCTTAATATGTGACATTGTTTATTTTTTAAATATAAAAGCTAAGTTTTCTATATTTAAAAAATTTAAATATAAGTATATAAAAAAAGATATTTGTAAGTATTTAAATTTTATTTTAATATAAAAATATATATATATGATTTTCAACCATTAAAATAGAAAACTGATGATAAAAATTATATATATATATATTTATTATATAAATATTTATTAATACAAAACTTAAAATAAATAAAAAATTATATTAGCTAAAATTCATAATATTCAAAAGTCTTAAGATTTGAAGCAATTTTATTAATTATCCAAGTAAAAGAAGTTTAGAAACCTTTGGAAAAGAAAAATTATAAAGTCTTTTAAAATTCCATGTTTACTTAGAATATCTTTGATAGAATATCATAAATATTAATTTATATTTATCTTATGAATAAAATATCATATATATATATATATATGTATTTTTAAATTTATTTAATATGATTAATTTTTAAAATAAAAATTAGGTTTAATTATATTTTAATTTAGTATTTCAAAATTAACTAAATAGGATCAAATAATAGCTATAAAAAGAATTTTTTACAAACAAATAAGAATCAAATAAAGAATTTATAAAAGTCTTAAAAATTAATATAATTAAATATTTATTTATTTATTTATTTAAATTTTTATATCAAAAATAAAAGAAAAAATATTAATGTTAATATTTTATTTTTATTTATTTATTTGATTAATAATCAAAACTATTAATGTATGATTTATCTATTTTTAACTAAATTGATTCAATAATTATTTTATCTAAAGCGTGATCTATTTTTTAAAATTTAATTTTTTAATATTTTATATTACTAAAAAAATTGAATCATAAGATTGTATTATAAATATCAAATAATATGCTAATTATATTACAATCTTTTATATTATTTTAAATCCTTTAATATTTTTATAATAAAATTTTAACTTATTTATTTTATTTATATATATATATATATATATATATATATATATAGCAAAGATGAAAACTTGATAAAAGCAAATAAGTAAGTAAGACTATTTCAAAGGAATATGAAAAAATACAAATAGAGAAGTATGCATATTAAAAACGAAACTGGAATGGCTATTGCTAAAAGATAGAGAAACTAGAGACTCTTAAAACTAAAATAGAAGCAAGAAAGAAGTTGAAAAGAGTGAAGAAGACTTCACTCTTGCTTCTATATATACTATCTACTTAAGATGTATGTGGCAATGTTTTTTATGACCTCCAAATGCATGTTGATTTTGCATGAAACATATCTGAACTTATAAGGCAAGTTTTTTACATAGATACCACATAGTTAGCTTGTTTTGTAAGCTACCAACACATATAGCATGTGATTAGTTTGTTGACCAAGTTTCTAATCTATCAATTAATTATAAATACATGCAAAATCAAACCAACGTCTAAAAAGCTTCTAAAAAGTTTTTTTTAGAAGATATTATAAAATTGATTTATTTTTATCTACTTCTATCTATTTATATTACTTAGATAATAATTACAATATATATATATATATATATATATATATATATATATATATATATATAACATTATTCTTTCTTCTAGGAACAAGTTCCTTGAAGAGTGATGATCACATATTGATATAGTCTAAGATATGGCAAATTGTATTTGCCACATACTCTGATCTTTGTATCTTTTGAAGGTAGTTGATAGGTCCTTTCAACCATTGATAATGTCTCATTTTAAGGTGACAATACCACCGTATTATTTGATCATTGTTAAAACCTTTCTAACTTCCTTCAAACAAAAT